GGAAGAAAATGCCTCCTGTGTGAACCTTAGCCTATCTGATCCAACCATATGTTCAATCTCTTCAATCTCACATTGAGCAGCGGGCATACCATGAACTCCCTAAGCAAATTCTATGTTACTGGAGGCACTAAGGAGTCTCTCTTCCAGGCTTCTGGATGACTAGTGCATCTATTCTGATTGAGCCTAGGCAGGGGAGCGTCGGAGTGATGGAGAAAAACAGTTAACTCTGGTAAGAGAAGCCCCCTCTGCCAGGCCTTGCAAGGTTCACACAACAGATGAGATGAGAAGCCACAGCCTACACACCTCGAAGTTCAGAGGAGCCCAATGGATTTCGAAGGCTCTTACAGATGGACACAAACCTTTGAGCACAAGCACACAGCTGTGGCTTTGGTGGTAAGCAAGGTCCTGATAAGCCTGCCTGATTTTCTACAATACGGTCACCCTGTCAAAGCGCACAGCTTGTTCTCAACGCCCCTTGCTGTGCTTTGGCAGGGACGACAGAGGGTTGCACTCTGTAAACTGCACCCACAGCCCACAGACTAGGAACAAACACGGATTTAAATAAAGCACGCATAGAGAAACCCGAATCAACCGAAGCAAGTTTTCAGTGTGAGGCTATCCGTTTCCAAAACTACACTTCCACATTGTCCTGACCACAGCTTACCTCTCCAGCAATGCTCTTCTCTCATCCTGATTGTTCTGCACTGTTGCTTCCAAGACAGCAATGTCCCCACGTAAATCGTCCGTCTGCTTCTCCAGCTCGCTCACTCGCCTCTGACTGCTTTGCCACTCTTTCTTCATGGTAGCCAGGTTTTCATTCAGAGCTGTGACCTGCATGGTGAGCTTGGTCTCCTTTTCCTCATGTTTCCGGTTTTCTTCTTCTTTCTCTTTTTTCTCTGTGTGCTACAAAAACAACGGAAGAATGAAAACCAACCTTCCAAGTATTCGTTTCCTACTCCCTACATTTAATTGAGGCAAAGACTCTTACTGTACTGGAATCACTACTTTTAATCAACAAACTCTACGAGACAAGGCTATCATTCCACTGAATTTTCCTACACCATTAAACGCCTCAAAGATTTCTGACCTTGTCATTTAAAAATTCATGTAATGCAAACTTGAAGTCAACTCTGCTTCCTCTCTGTCTCTGAAAGAACCCAAAGGCATGTTCACGAAACAAGTCTTGTACTCTGTAACATACTAACCAGTTTAGCTTCAATTTCAGCACATTCTTTCTTCAGCTCCTCTTCTCTCTTTTTCAGCTGATCTTTGACAGCTTGATGGGTTTTTTTCTCCTGTTCCAGAGCTGAATTCATATTATCTATTTTGCCTTGCAGCTCTAATTTCTGTTGAATCAATAGCTGTTTTGCATCCTTGAGATTTGCCACCTCCTGTTAGGATACAGAACTCAAAGTTAAAAGTAGCAACATTGAAAGTGTAAATGATTTAAATTCAAAACTACTGTCATTCTTTCCAAGGAGAGTCTTGCAAGTAATAATTTTTAGGTTTATCACTGGAAGAAAGGATGATTTTATAGCACAAAGTATCAGTGATTTTCATGACCAAAGATTTTAAACTTATACCTACATTATGAACAACATTCAATTTTTAAAATAAATTTAATGTATGTTTCTACCAAAGTAGTGGAAGCTCTGTTGGATTGTCTTCTACAGTTCTTTGAAAAGATATGTCCATTTTCATTTTCTAGAGTCTGTTCTAAAATTTACTTCACACATTGTTCTTTGGTTGCAAAAATTAGGTTAAAAGCATTGTAATGACAATGTAAAAACCAAATACTGATGGTAGAAGGCTAGTTTCTGTTAGTCTTATATGTATAAATAATTACCCCATGTTTTAAGCAAGTAGGATGATACATTTGGTTTTAAATATTAGTTTCACTTGCACACTTTTGCAATAAAAAGATAAAAAATCCTGAAATAGAATAGTTAATTAAATTTATAAGAATAATTTTCCTTAAAATTACACAGCCAAGCGTGCAGGTACTAACAGACTAATAGGGGTTGCCAGTTTTCCATAAATCAAAGTTCATGTCACAAATTAAAACCAAACCAAAGACAGCGAGAGAACGTATCCTGAGGACAAAGGGAGGCCCTATAGATGCATATCTATCCATTCCTTGGTAGGAAATAGGAAACAGAGTATAAGTCTTTACGAGACAATTCCTGGTTTAATTCACTTGTAGGGAGAGCGAGAGACAAGTACAAGCTGCCATTGGTGTGCACACATTTTATATATATATCTTTACAAATTTTCTACTTTAGAATAGAGATTTTAGGAATGACAAGAATTGTAATAACCTTTCCACAAAATCCAAGAGAGTACTGGGCACGGACTGCTTGGCAGAAACAAAGTACAGACTTCTACCTAAAAATAAGGGACCATTTTCTAAACACTGGAGAACAAAAGAACATCTGAAACTCCTAAAATACCATGTTACTCTTTTTTTATTATCATATAGGAACTGTACCTTCATTTATACTTGTGAAGCAACTAAAACCCTGTATGCTGAACAGATGCAAATATAACTACTAATAGTATAATATGCAAAACACAAACTACAGCCTTTTAGGAGTGTTTGTTTCTACAGAGACTAAAAAATTAAATAGACAGAATGTGGCAAGAAATAATTTGCTTTACTAAACACTAAAAATTATTTAATTAAAGCCTCCAAACTTTTACCCTTTAGAGAGCTCATTTGATTGTTATGATTTTGGAAGAGAGTTCATCTTTTATGAGGCCCCTGACATTGTTTCTTCCCTGACTGTGACTTTTAAAGACATTTTAAGAAACCACAGCACATCAAGGGAGTTTCAGCTCTACCACATATCCTTGAGAAGCACCAGATATGCCTAGAACATCTGGGAAACTTCACATTCATGTCACTTTTGGACATCTTTCCTGCACTTCAGAACAGCCAATCTATTGTGATTGTGAATCTACAGCGGAATAGAAGAAAGGCCAGGACATGCAACATATTTTGAAGCTAAGAGAAGTTATGTGGTCCACCTGGCCAAGAATGCTGGGTAGCGGTGCTCCAGGATTATCACTAACAAAGTCAGCAATGCTCAGGAACCTCAACAAAATCTGTTCTCTGGTTCCCTTACCTGTAATACTGAAATTTACAGCAACCATCTTTGCAAAGCCATTCCAGATAACATCTACTGAGTAGACATATATTTCTTATCAGATAACCAACCACATGATGACTCAGTTTGTCTCAATATACCTTCTCAAATTCTTGCTTGCAGGCTCTAAGCTCTTCACCCAGCTTGGCACTTTCTTTTTCAAGTCTACTCCTTATTTCCTGGAGCTCTGTTGTTTTACATTTTTCATTAGCCAAGTCTTTTTCTTTCAAAATCTTGAGGAGAAACAAAAAATGCTAGAAAAGTTACTACTTCCAAGTTCACAACATAAACAAAAAACAATCAAACAAAAAAACATCCAGGGCCCAAAACCTACTTGGAGGCTTTGTAATTAAGGGGAAACAACAGCCACATATCTCTAACCACAGATCTTAGAGCAAACAATTAGCAGCATGTTTGCAGTTTGGGATTTAAAACTAATATAGTTTTCGCACCTGTCCAGCCACTTAGACCAAATTAACAGCCTATTTTGAACGAAATTCACTTCAACTGTCTGTCAAAAGTCTTTGCACCACAGGTTCTGTAAAACTGCCACTGCCAGGCACTACAACAGTGCTACGCCCTCAAAATACCCCATTTAGAGAGGTAACAGAAATTAACAGACGGTGGGTGGATGTGTCTGTGAGAAGATTTCAAAAGATGGAAGCATTTACCCTGTCATTCTGAAGATCCTGTAACATTTTGGTCTTCTCACCCAGCTGCTGCTCCTTCTTTGATGCATCCTGCTCCAGTGTAGACTTTGCCTTCTTCAGTTCCTGAATCTGCTGATTATTGCTAGCAATTCGATTTCTGCTGGAAACTAATTCTTCTTGAGCTAGAACAAGTTTTTCTTCTGTGGACTAATTACAAAGAGAGTTCTGCAAATTATCTGGCAGTACAAGAGCTTTAGATTCTCAACAGTCACTTAAACATTTTCCACATGGAAAAATTGTTATCTAGCGTGCAACATTTAGCCTCAAATGTTGACAAAGCATAGTTACAGAAACTTCTAGGTTACGAGGTTACACTAAGGAAAAAGAAACTACCCCAGTACCATTTCCAGCAGCAATAACTTACTGTACATATTCCAGCTTGCATCCCTCCACAGAGAAAATGTGAAAACACACCAAAGGGCAGAGAGTGAAAGGTGACTGATGAAAAGACAATGAACTTGAATTTGCTCACACAAATTTATTTTAATGTCTGGGCAAATCAACTGCTCTGTAACTCTAGGCACTGTTACTTAAGAGGCAGTGAAGCTATACTGTGAAGATTTCAGAAGTCATTCAATGCTATTTTTTACCAATGACTTAACAAAGCTAGGACAATTGTAAATTTTTTTCAAATCCTGACGTGAAATGTGCAAGCTAAAATGCTAATATCAGGACAAAACACTTCATGGTCTCAGTTGCATCAGCATTTTAAAGACAAAATTTAAACTTCCATTCAAAATCTGATACAGAATATATTTTAATTTGCTTCCAACTCTCCCCATTACCTAGAAAAAGAACCTGGATT